TCCTTCATTCCTTCATTCCTTCATTCCTTCATTTATTCATTTATTCATCCATTTATTCATTCATTCATTCATTTATTTTTTCATTTATTATTTTAAATTTTCGTTTGTTTTGAAGATCACGGTGGATAACACAAAATCCGAGGTTTGTTGTACTACAACTGATCCAAATCTATTCACATTTGACAAGAGGTAAAATTTACTCTAACAATTTATCAGGATAAAATACATAGGTATATATTGAATGTTGGGTGTTATTTCGTCAGATTTCTTTTCTACAATGAGTTGGGTGACTACGTCATGTACAGCAACCAAGCCAAGAAAGTGCAGGTAAATTGAACTTCTAGAAAATAGCGATAAGAATAGCGAAGTACCTACAGTGAAGACAGCGAAAAAGATCCGATTTATCGTAGCGTTTCCGACCGATAGTAAATAAAATTTAAGTTCAAGTGATTAAGATAATGAGGAGCAAGACGAGTATATTTTGTTTCACGCAGGAATCAGAACAAATTATTTGCACCGAAATGTACTGAAGAAAAATTACTGTTACAAGGGCGAATCCAGCCAAAATTTTAGGGGGGGGCTAATTGAGTTTCTTCCGTCAACACAACGGAAAACAGTATAAAAAAGCATCGTTTTTCTTCTGCTGAAGAAGGGGCTTGAGTCCCCCCTTGCCCCCCCCCCCCCCCCCCCCCCCCCCCCCCCTCGCCCTTCTGGATCCTCCCTTGTGTTATCACCGCTACAGAAGGCACATCATGATTTTTCACAATTATTTATAATATCTATCTTGCTAAAATAAGTCAAGTCACTTTATGCAAAAGACATTGTCTATTGAGAAAAGGTGAATTAATTAAAATGTTTGGCTATCAAAGCTAGAAATTTCTTCCATATTATTTGCACCTTGAATTTTCTCTTCGCCTCAATGTTCAGGTATTTTACCATAACTTTCCAAATTCTAAAGTCCCCATACAGACATTAGAAATACATTCATCGGCCAATTACAAAAATCTAATCAAATTTAGAATTTGAGGATTCAAACTAATACAGAAGAGATTTTTTACCTGCTTGAAGGGCATTTTACTTGCGATCCAGTTTTTTTCCTTTATGCCTAAAATTGAATAAAGTTTAGTTTGTCAACTGCATGAAGCATGCTTGTTACTGCCGATCTTTTGTGTACCCATGACGTCACTACAATCTGACCAATCAGGAATCGCATGCTAAAATAGCTCAGACTTGCGAGCGGAGCTAAAAATAGATTTTCAAGAAACTTTATAGGGCACTGAGATTTGCTCTCTTACTTCAAATTCTCTTATGGTTTTTAGTACTGAGAGGATGATTCGTGATTTCTGTTTCTAACTAAAACCTGCCTTTACTTTAGTGACAATAAATCATCGAGGTATATTTTTGTTGCTTTATAAATTCTATGATTAAACAATGAATTATCAATCATTGATAATAGATCCTTATTCCTTTATCAACAGGTTCATGTTCGTCTTTGGATATGTGCTGGTCAAATGACCTGTGTATGCGGTGCAGCAATACGAGAGGGAAAAGACGTCATAGTTATATCTATGTGTAACACAATGAAAGATTCATTTCCTACAATACTGAGGACTTTCAAACGAAGTCCTGGAAGTCTATCGAAAGGAATTAAAATCACTAAGAAGATCAGTGGTTCATCATTGGAGCAGGAGGTACATTTATATCACTGAAATCCCTAGCTTAAACGATAATTAATAGCGAGTAATAATTACCATACCTTAAAAGAGCTTGTTAAAGAAGCTAAAAGTTAGAAATTAAAAAAAAAATAGTTTCAAAACATTTTGTGTGTGAAAACATTCCGCGTTGGAGGCGGGCATCTCTTGCTTCCAAAAAAACTCTTCTAACAAAATTCACACTTTTCAAAATTATATATATCTTTTATTCGCGAGTTTCTAACTTATTCTGTCCGGCTTAGGTGTTTATTTCTTTGATTTCACTAAAAACATTTTCGGCTTTTCATATGTAAAGGTAATTCTGTCTTCGGGTATCAGAGTCTCAGTGGAACGTTCTGGAAGGTCACTGGATGTTCGTATCAATGCACCATCTATTGACAAGGGAAAAGTCTTGGGGCTTTGTGGTAACTTTAATGACGATCCGGAAGACGATTGGAACAAAGGAGGTGATGGTAAACCTCATGATGATGAAAAACAATTTGCAGCAAGCTGGCGGTAAGTCAATGACACAAATCGAACTAATAACACATCGGCAAGCACAATTGCAACAATTTTGTTTATATTGCTTTAACAGTCTTAAAGAAGGGAAGAGCTTTTTTGAGGTTCTCCCTGAACAAGAACTTGAAGAGCAAGTTGAACAAGGGAGATCCTGCTATTGTGGCATCGAAGGTGAAACAACACAGGATGAAAGATGCGATGACAACGCAAACCTTTTCACAAGAATCGACGCTACTCAGATAGAAGTACTTAACACTCAAATAAATGACCAATCACAGTTTGGCATGAAAAGATCTGTAGACAGTCACTGGTATAGTGATGACATCATTGATCACGTGGAACGTAGCTACTATGTGGATGATCCTCATGTACAACTCGCTGTAAACCGCATACGAAACAAGAGATCACCAAGAGAAGTCATATCAGAAGATGAGGCAACCGAGTACTGTAAAACACAAATTGAAGAAACAAAAGCAGGAAAGGCATGCAAGGAGATCTCGGAAACCAACTTGAAAAATGCCATGATACAGTGTGTTAACGACCTAAAGGTAATGTTGGTAGGGATAATTAATGTGACATCTATTAAAACAGGAAAGGGTGCATTATTACGAGATATGTGAAATTAAAAATAACTCAAGTATTTGCTTCTATTTTGACACTCTTAGCTGTCAGGAGACAAGACATTTGCAGTGTTGGCATTTGACACCATGAAGTACATATGTGAAGATGCCACATTAAAAAACCTTTCACTCTATACTCACACACCAAGTGGTGACTTAATGCCTCCCAGAGAGGTAGTAAAAGACTTGTGTCCTGCAGACTGTAGTGGACGTGGCAAGTGTAAGAACAGAACCTGTATATGTGACGAAGGCTATACTGCACTGGACTGTTCTATGCAGGTTAATGCAGTTCCTGAGTTGCTGGGGTAAGTAGAATGCATCGCAAACCGTACGTGCACAGTATAACTGTATAAATGTGAAAATAATGGAATAAGGATTTTTTGTCTTTTTGATCATTGTTCTAGCTTTCAGCTTTATTCCATTTCCTGTATAAAAGTTTAAAACCAATTCAATTTTTGCACAAGCCCTTTTCTGAAAGTATTTCCAAGTATATAGTTGAATGGATTCAAATTTGCTTTGCAAAGCTTTATTCCATTTCCTGTATAAAAGTTTAAAACCAATTCAATTTTTGCACAAGCCCTTTTCTGAAAGTATTTCCAAGTATATAGTTGAATGGATTCAAATTTGGTGCAAAGTATGTTTTTTAAATATGGGTTCAGGAATTTTTTTGTTTGAACGAGCCCTTTCCTTTATATATATTGTTAACTAGGTAATCGTTTAGTTACCCTTTGGTTTCATTCAAAGTAGTCTTTCGTAGACAAATTTAATATTACCCTACGCTTAAGGCGATCCCCAGACTAGATCGCTGGAGCCGGTCAACTTCTTTTTAATCCAGTCAAATTTGTGATTCTTTTGACTGCTTGCTTAGAATTTACGATGGTGGACTCTGTGATATACGAGAACGACCATGTAGAAGGACAACTATCCTGGGCCAGAATTTTATCAAATCTGAGAACCTAACATGCCATATACATGAAGTAAAGGTAATACTTGAAAATCATATACAAACATAGAAATATATAGATATACTATTGAACCTCGTATACTGGTGGGGCCAGGAACCATGTGGTTTTGTGCACTTTTGAAGAAATGAGCTTTAGCTTCATCAAATGGTGTTTTTTGTATCAGTCTGTAAAGCCTTTGCAAGTGGTTGAAAGTGAAGGTAAAACGTATGTGTGATCGTTATCTTAGGTTTATCAAGGTACCTGGTCTCCTCGTGGAATTCCTGTCACATCACAAGGGAAAATGACGGATCTGTTTGGTGTACAGTGCAACTTGCCTGAGCCTCCGACTAGACTTGGTGACTACGAACACGAGGGTACCCCGGCTGGGGGACTTTTGATCTCGGTTTCTAATGATGGGTTCAATACAAATGTTCAACGACTGCGACATGTGACCTACGACTCAAAGTGCATGAACTGCAGCAAATCAGGGAGATGTGAAGTTAAGGTAAGTAGTTAATTGACAATGAGGTACACCAAATTGTAAAAGAAATGACTAGAGGAGAATCTTCGGTTCTCACCTTTTGGGTTGGTCATAATGCATGCCTCGTGTATCATATAAGGTACGTATCTCGGTGGGGAAGAGTTAGACCAAAATATAGATAGTTTTCACCATAGACCAAGAAAAT